CATAAACTCACACCAATATAATGAAAGGACATTGGAATTGGAAATGTCTTGGTGTGTTACTACGTGTCTCTCTGAGATTCAGTGTAGTACTGCAGCAGTGTGAGTAGTTTGCTTCCTTTTCTTCCCTAGATGGATCCCTGCTGTTTCAGCAAGTGCCAATGGTGGAGATCGACGGGATGAAGATGGTGCAGACTAGAGCCATCCTCAACTACGTAGCAGCAAAATACAATCTCTATGGAAAAGACCTGAAAGAGAGAGCCTGGTACGGTAACAGCGCATACTGTCCTTACTGATACTGTTCCAGAGATTGCAGGGATCATTATTATGGACTGGCATGTCTGAACTGGCAGTTGTCAGCCATTTGTTGCTAGGATCCTTTCATGACTAGGCCTCAAACTACTTTTTTTTTCTAGCCTGGTTGGCATATGTGGTCTTTTCTCCAACAGCACAGATGAATAGGTTATCAGTGGAAATGCCTGTGAACTCCACTTCAGATACCTTAGTTGCAGACACTTATTTGTACCTTGCTGGTTGCAGATACTGTGAGCCTGTTCATAAAGTCTGTGTTTTGAAATAAATTGAGCTGGAATCAAAGTGGAAGAACAAGAAAACAAGCTGGTGTCTTCTGTTACATTCATTAAGAAGCATTTTACTCAGTGATCACTTCAGCATTGTATTTCAGGACAATAACCAAATGGCAATGTTAAAATGATAAATGTGAAATACAAATGGTTGTTTCAGGATTGATATGTATGTGGAGGGAACAACAGACCTGATGATAATGATCATGCATCTCCCTTTTCAACCAGCTGACACAAGAGAAAAGAATCTTGCCTTAATCATTGAACGAGCTTCAAGCAGGTACTTTCCTGTTTATGAAAAGGTAAGTGACAAATCACCAGTAGTCCACAAAGGCAGTAAAGTGGGGTATAGGTTCACCCCCACTCCACTCCTCTGGCCCTACACACCTGCTTTCCATAAGGCAAGCAACATACAACTCTGGACCTGTATGATGGAGTCAGTATTCAGCAATGTGAAAAGAGGGCCACAGAGTAATATTTGGCTGGTTTCAGTTCTGAGTATCTTTGCTGTCTTCTTTAAGACTCCTCAAAGAGTAGATACTACTTTTTAAACCATGCTTGGTGGCTGATAGCTCCTAGCGTTTTGAATGAACGAACCATTTAAATACCTGTGCCAGCCTTCAGAGCTTATTGCCTGAAAGTCTACATACTCTTGCTGTTCAAAGTTTAGTATAATTGTGCTTTATAATTCAGGGCCTAATTCTGTGATCTTTCTCAAACCCAGTATAAATATAGTACACGTGCAGAGTATTACTGTCTTTTTCTGTATTGGTATTTGGGCGTCCTGAGGTGTGCAGAAAGAGGCTCTGCAAACAGGATGTATCTAGCTTAAAAGCATAAAGCAATTATTTACTGGCTGGCAGGCCCTAAAGAGCCTCTCTTGGGCGATGAGGTAAGGCATTGGTATGCGTGACACCCCCACAGAGCACATGAAGAGACTTGGCAAGGCAAGAGTTGATCAGGAGGGGACAGATTGTTCTTCACTTCTCCCTGGAACATAGCCTGGATGTTACTGAGTTGCCATTTTCTACCAACTTGCTGTTTGTTCAGTTGTTTTTGTTTTATTTTTTCCCTTTAGGATATTTTAGTATAGTTTTTGGTGCTAATATTTTCCCGTTTGAGTTGAGCCAGCTGTGATCCTCGTCTCACTATCCTACTTCTGTTTGTAACTTTACCTTTTGTACCTGATGTGGTTGTACTGTACAGACTTTCTCACAGCACTTTTTCGGAGCATAGCAGTCTCCTGGGAATTCCTGTGCCAAGGGTACAAAGCTGTGTTGTTTCAGAGGCCCCGTTTGAGCCAGGTTTCTAGCTTGAATCCTTGGTTCACAGGCAGCTGAAATCCATTCGAAAAATACAGGACTTGATGCATTTTCATGTGCCTCTTTATCAGAGCCTTAAATTGCACAAGCGAAACCCACAGAGGCTGCCCTGTGAAAAAATAATTGCACATAAACAACGTAAGCCAGTAGTCCTGTAATTAGAGTTTATACAGGTCCACTGCCACACCAATGGAAGGCTGTGCTGAGAGAGACTGACCGCACACATTCGTCTTTCAAAGATTTGTAGTCTAATAACATAAGTACTTAAGTTATTAAAAAAAAAAAAAAAACAAAAAAGCAAATTTAGACGCTAGTATTCACCAAACCTGTGCCTAGGTGGTATAAACTACTGTTCTGGTATATGCTACTGGAGGAAAGTCTTGAAAAGAATCCTTGTTCACTTACGGTAAATACACAGCTAAACTTTTCCATGATTTGTAACATAGTTAATTTTGTTAGGATGATTAATAGTTTTCCTTCTGTACCAGCTGTATAAGTTGTTCATTGACTCAGTTTAGCGGCGTTTGCAGTCCACGTGTTACACAATCCTGACAGAAAACATCCCTAGCTATGAGCGTTTGCTTTAAACACTCAGCAACCAGATAGGGTGGCAAAAGGTGACATAAAGCTCTGAAGACAATCTGGTTCAGGTGCTCCCTTTGGGAGTTTCCATGTGGCTTTGATAGACAAGCTGTGGTGGACCTTGTTAGAGCAGTATGGGAAGTGACTATGTGAAGGTACCAGCCTTGCCTCTGTCAGAGCTTACTGCCTCTTCTAGAGTCAAATTGGCAGATGGGACTGGGGAAGGAATCCGTTTCCAAAGGTGCGGACTGATGTTTTAGTGCACGTTTGTTAGCTGTTTAAGTGTAGCGTTAGAGTAGCTTGGGCACAGACATGTCTCCTCCTCCTGCTTCTGCTACAGGGGTGATAGTCTTCAGGAAGAAGGAAACTGCTGTGAATCTGTGCTGCACCGTTTGTCACAACTTGTCTGTTACAGCTGTTAGTAGCTTTGGCGGGCTGTGATTCTTCCATCAGCAGTTTGCCATGAAAGAATCCTTCTGTACAGGAGGACAGGTGGAAAGGCTGTGTTCCTTCATTCCTAACCTCTTTCTAACTCTAATCAGCAATCTGAAATTTTGCTGAAACATCTGGGAACTCACTTGACTTTTTTTTTCTTTTTTTTTAAATCCAAGTACACTACAGGTAAACTCTCCTGACTGCCTCTTACAGTTACTTTGGTCCTGTTTCTTTTCTATGGCTGAAGTCTTTCTTGTGGGACTGGACTTGCATCAGCTACCTGGTGCAGGAGGTTGGAGTGAGTCAAAGGTCCACACACACTGAAACATCAGTTCTGATTTTTTTGTTGTGAGAATACCTGTCACTTTCTAACTTTATAGATTCTTGCATGGATTTGCTCTGCTATTTTTGTAGAAATCTGTGATGTAACATCTAAATAAAATTGTTACCTCCTACATGACTTTTTTTATTAATTGATATATTGTTAGGCCTTAAAAGACCATGGCCATGATTATCTTGTTGGCAACAAATTAAGCTGGGCAGACATCCATCTGCTGGAAGCCATTTTAATGGTTGAAGAACTGAAGCCTGATATACTGTCTGCGTTCCCTCTGCTACAGGTTAGTAATCATGGAATGGTTTGGGTTGGAAGGGACCTCAGAGATCATCAGGGCTCACCTTCTCCAGCTCTGCTTTTCCCAGCTGTTCTCCACTCATGGGAATTCACTCACTGACTCTGCCTGTTTGGTCCTGTAACTGCTGCTTTTGTTCATGTGTCTTCAAACACAGCAATGAGCATCAGGAGGGGAAGGCTGCGGCCTGTTGTGCCTGCAGTTCCTATCCTTCTGTTACTCCTAGCAATGTTATATTTTGAAGAAATCCTATACAAGAGCTGTTAAGTTTCTTACGTCTTGTCTTCCATGGTGCTTTGCACTGAGCGTTCCTGTCCTTGCCTCTCTTTTTACCCAAATATACCTGCACGATTTGGATTCAGACCGTGCTTTTTGCTTTTACTTTTTTCTTTCTTTTTTCTTCCACCTTTACCAGATGAATCTTAACTTTTTAATATTAATTTCTCCCATCCCTATCTGGGAAACTAAGATAAACTTTATAGCACCAGTATTGCAGATCATAATATTCACACCTGGATTTTCCAAAAAGACTAATGTGTTTTAAGTGTAGTTTTAATTTTTTTTTCTTTTTAAATGGAAAATGCTGAGTGCTGAGTTGCCTAGAAGGAGCTACTGCCTTTCTCTGTGTAATAAGTATATCTGAGAAGTAAAAATGCAAATGATTTTTAAGCTATAAAGGATGGAATTACAATTTCCTGACCCTCATTGGCTTTACTGCTGCTTCTTACAGGCTTTTAAAGGAAGAATAAGCAACATTCCAACAATAAAAAATTTCTTGCAGCCTGGCAGCCAGAGGAAGCCGCCAACAGATGAGAAGCTTGTTGCCTTTGTGAAGAAAGTATTTGATATGTAATCTTGTGGCTGCTGAAGGTAACACAACTGTAGTCTTTTACCAGAGCTGTGCCTTCTAAGAGTAAACTGCATAGATGTGTTCTGTGGTTTGCATCATATATCCGATCATGTGGTAATCATTGAAACAGAATACACTTTTAAATTAGGGTAAAAAGCTGATCTGGAGCTGTTGATTCCAGAAAGTGGTATTTTATGGAACAATTACATGAAATAAAATATGCTGATAATTCATGTTTGTTTAATTACAGTACATGCTTGGTAGGGTAAAATGTTTCAGCTGTATCTTTCAGGGTACTGTAGAAAGCTCCCTCCCCCCCCCCTTCTTTATAAACTGCAGGTGAGAAGAGTCACTCCGTAAAAAAGGGACAGTAATTTAAAATCAGGCCTAGAATCTTTTGGTTTTACTCTCTAGGTGGTGTCCTAGATCAAAGTTCACTGTCTTCCTGCTGTATTTCACTGCTGTCTCTGTACTTTCATTGCTGCAGTTTAAAAAATGAATAAATGTTTTAAAAATTAAAAAAACAGAACAAAAAAAAGATAATCCACGTAAATTCATAGGCAAAAGTAAGAAACATGTTTAATCTCCTGTGAAGCTTTCAGATGAGATTTCATCCACTGAAAGATCAAAGTATATGTGTTTAATTAGCCTGATGTCATTTTCATCCATTGAAACCATCTGTTCTTTTGCTCTTTTTGCTTGCTTGGTCACAGTGAGGAAAATGCCACTTGCTGGTTTTTTTTTTTTTCTAAGACTTTACCTTCTCCAGTCTGTTCCCAAGTAGTTGTAAAGAGAACTGCACTGGCTGCTTACCTTTTCAGTGAAAGAGTTAGTTTTATCTCAACAGTGCCTAAAGTATTCATTGCTATTTCAGATTCTTTACCCTCTTTTCAAAGGCACCGTTGCTCTCCCCTTTAAGAACAGTGCCATAAAATATTCCTCCTTGCAGTTAGTTGTTTTTCTCAGTAGGGCTCGAACTGATGAGGCAGAGAAAACAATCAACTGGTGTATATACAGAAACGTTTACTACTTGTCTGACTTGTGCATGAGAAGAGCCGCATACTGTACCTCAGAGATACAAACCAGAAATGCCCCAATCACCTAAGCACTGCCCAGAGAAGCTCCTAGGAGTTTTACGTGACAATTACCTAGGTAACTGGAAGCAGCAGTTTGCCATGCTTGCGTAGTTCATTGAGCTACACCTCTATTCCATACAAATGCTACGATTACTGAACTGTCACAAAGACTGGCACAGGATCTCACCTGTGTGTTTTGGGAGTCCTCAGTCCCATAGCGATACATTGGACTTGCTGAGAACGCTACTTGTTTGAGCTGCTCAGGGATTTCAGCAAAAGCTTCTGGATTACAGTTGCGTTTGGAGGCGCCCTTCCCCCATGGGGTAATTCAGAGAATGCACGGAAGGCTCCACTCTGGGCATGCTCAAAAATGTAAACTCTTAATGCATTTAAGATCTGGTGTAGCAGTAACTGTAGGATGGCTTCTGCATTTCAGCACTAGGTTTCCTAAACTTTTCATTCAAGCTTAACCTCAGGCAGGATTCACCTTGTCTCTACAGTACAAATACCAAAATCGGCATCAGTCACCCAAGCCTGTTATGGTACATGGCAGTTCAGTTCCCCTGAAGTGCCTTGAAGTTCTACTTCAGGATTAAATGAACCACATCTTATGTGTCCAGCTGCCATCCCAACCTGAAATCCGTAACATACCAGCTCAGTCATCTCTAAGTCTGGCAAGAGCTGCAGATGACTGATACCAACATCTATGAGCAAAAGATTCCAGAGCTGGAGGCTGTGGTTTGGGGCTGATGGGGTTTGGGGGTGTTTTTTTTTTTGCTTTGGTCACTTGTGCCTTAGACATCTGAGCTGCTCGCAACACCTTGTAACCACCTAAGCCCCTGTCAAGAATAATAAGCTTGGTATTCTGCTGATGGATTTGTGCAGCATTGAGATCTGGTATGTGATAGCCTCTGTAAGCAAGCTGTGTTTAAAAAAAATGAAAAGAAGCAAAATTTCCGTTTGTCTTCAATAGTGCACTTGCCCATATTCAGTTTCCTAATGATCTGGCTGCATGTTCCTGTGCGCCAGAGATAGTTTTAGCCAAGCTTTCAGACCCAGGGAGTATTTAATTATTTTCTGTGGAAACAAAAGCAGCTTAAATCCCTGAATAGTTTATGTCTGATTACTCTCATTTGCTTATGGGGAGGACTTCTGCAAGATAATCTATTTAAGACCACAACAGCAAACCTGTGAAAGAGCACTGAGATTAAGAGTTTACAACCTATTTGTGCAAGATGGTGAACCTTCCTCAGCTGTGGTTCACGTTGGTGGGAATTTACAGCATGGTACATGTTTTAAACCAGTGGTGAGTACAGAGCAGATCACCAGACTCTTCCATTGACAAAATGGCTCACTAGTCTGCACAAAAAACTGAGAAGCTTTGAACATTTTATGGTTTATTTGAACACTGATAATAGTTTTTATGTTTAGAATGAGTGGAACAAGATACACGTGTCTGAAAGAACAGTGGGTTTTCTAGTGCAACACAGTACAGGCCTGTGCCTTTATTGATTAGTAACTGGCAATATCATCGGAATTGATTACTTAATCTCAGAACCTAGAAAATTATGGTTCAATACAATATACCTTTTTAGCATAAACATGTATTTATATTCTTTTCTCAGATATACAGTGCAAGACTAACTCAATTTCTTGGGGCGCTCAGCACCCTTGAAAGAGATCAAACTTACAGAGAAAGATCCCTTGATTAACAGGCTGCTTAAATGAAGTAGATCAAAATATACTCTCAACAAAACATTTGGTTTAGTTTATAAAAAAAGCTTGAAAAATATCAGCAAATGTCAATAATCAAATTACAGGTACAGATCTTTTACAGAGAAGATAAATGCAATCTAAGACTTATGTTCAAACTTGTCTTTGAAGTACGGAGAGCTTGCCTGTTTGTTCTGTGGGCGTGGCAGTCATACTTTGGTTCTTAAGTTGCTATGTTCTCCTACAGCAGCATAAAAACAAGCCTCAAAATCATCAAAAGGCTGCAAAAAAAAACCAACAACAGAATAAGAAACATAAATATGGTTGTGCACGAACAAAAACAGTGACAGTCATCATTACAGAACAATGCATTCATAAATACCTGACACTAGAGCCTCTAGTCTTCAAAATGTCTAAATCTACAGCCTCAGTGTCTGCTGAAACACACAGGCCACCTACAGCTTGAAAAGCAATCCACAATGGTAAAATAACATTTTCCAGTTTAAGTCCTGATTCTTAAAATTTTGCGTCTTAACAATTCGCATCTGATTTTTTCCTCCCTGTATGTAATTGGAGTACAACAGTTAATGGTGTTATTAAATCTGGTAACAACGGAGCAACAGTTATTCCTGCAGAAGATGGAGATTCTGACCTACAGTTGAAAAATGTTTTGAGTTATGGACTCACTGGGAAAAAAAAAGTTTTGACTTACTCCATAATTTAATTCCAAATTAAGAAGTAACAGAAAATCATGTTTTCCAGAATGCCAAAACAAACAGCAGCAATAAAGCAGTCAGAACGGTTAGAAACATCACAGTTTGCAGTAATACTGACCAAAGTGCTTAGGTCAGGTCAGAAATGTCCTGGTTTTCAAAGGTGCTGAGATTCCAGTGAGTTTTGAATGCAGCACTTCTAAACCAAAGTGTTGATCTTTTCGAAGATGACTCTGTTGTATGAAATCACATGACTAATTTTATGCATATGTGTTTGAAAACACTGAGGCTTGCCTCAGGTTCTTCCAAGAACTTTATCAATATGCATTAATATTTAATTGCAGAGATCTCCTTTCTCTGCTGAGAAAGTCAGTCTGTATCAGATGTATCTGCCTAGTGAGATGAAAAAGCTGCTGACTGGAAACAGGACTCTGACCTCCAAACTAATTTAACTTCAATTGTACAAGTTGCTGGACGATAGTAACTTCCACTGATACTGGCTTGAATCAGATGTCAAATGGCCACTCTGAAAATCAGGGAAATCTTTAATATAAAGATCCTCAATATATGTTTACCTCAGGCATGCTACTAGTCCGGCTGGCATTAATTTCTTGGACCTCTTGAACCTCATTCCCATTATAATGGTCAAAAGAAAAGCTGAAACTGTAAAAGACAATTCAACATATTTATGTTCTCACTTCTCCTAGTGGACCATTCAGGTATATGGAGTTATCAAAGGCCGTTCTATGTTTTGCTATGAACTGCGATTTAATAAAACATTACATCAGAGGTAGGGTCTGTAAAAACATTCTTGCTCTTCCAAATTACCCTGCTATGATTTCTTTCAGCTACATATAAAGCTTCCAGGTGCAGCAGAATGCTAAATCCTATTCCACAGATACTGTCAGTTTGTCATACAGAGATTCTATTCCCCTGTATCTACATTCACAGGTAATCAAAGAAAGTAGCAAGAATCTTCATCAAAACAGTGACATGTATGCTGAATTACAGGAACAGTGTCTCACAACCCCCACCACCCTATCATTGCAGCTGTTTTCTAACTATTCAAGGAGCTAGAGCGTCCAACTTTATGTTTTCTTTTTAGAATGCTAGCTCTTTATTTGCTGAGCCTTAAAAACTAGATAGGAAGGTTTGCCACTTGTTTTTGCTACAAAATATGGACATCAACATCTCCTTTATCATGACAAGTTCCCTTGTTTTGCTACGAGGGAACCATCCTTATCTGTGAGGATAAGAGGTGGGCAGCCCAAGAGGGCAACAAATGCAGTGCAAGCAGCAGAGAACAAACATCATGAAAGGAATTGCATGTTCTTCCTGGAGCAGTTTTCCCTAAAAAGGGAGGTAGTAGCAATGAACTGATCAGGCATGGTGATTTCATGTCAAACTATGGCTGCAGAGTGCTACCTAAATGAGAAGATAAATTAATGAGAGTGCATAAAATTCTGCAAAGACAGCTAGCTTCGTTAAAGAACTGTCACCTGAAATGCTTCCTAGAAGCAGGGAGAGAGGCAGGACTTCTCAGGGGCAGCTGGGCTTTATCGCTCTTGCAGCCAAAGTTACACAGATCT